AGACCAGTTATATCTCCAAAGATGTAATTACTAGGCTTCTCTGTATAATTATAACTTGAGTTTCCTGTTAAATTGCTAATAATTGTGGCTTTCCCAGGTAATAAACACCTCAGGATTGAGACAGAAAGTTGGGTTTTTTTTGGCCAGGATGTAGTTGTTCCTGATAAGCAGGAAAAAGGTCACAGTGAAATATTGGTTTACTCCAGGCCACTGCTATAAAAATAAAGCACCTTTTTATGTGTGTCCCATGCCCAGGGAGCCCTTGCTTAGGCAGAAGCCAAACGGGTGGCAACAGTGAGACGGGAGGTGTGGGAGAAAATAGTACCTTTGGCATGGGCTAGATATGTAGTGCCAGCACACAGAGAACTTGTATGTGGATAAAATATAGAAAGAGGGGTACAAATATAGCCCTGGCAACAGGAGAAAAAGTGAGCAGGGCAGGAGTAAGTAGCGCTTAAAAGAAAGAGCAGGAATGTAGAGCCCATAGCACAGGGGTGAAGGTCGAGTAGGGGATAGTGGTTTTTGAAAGTGGGATAACAGAGCACTTTGAGGCCCAAATTTGAACCCAGGCAGAGAGCGCATCACGTGAGAATTGCAGGGGATTTCCAAAAATAGAAGGGATTGTCTGGAGGGTTCATAAGAGAGGAGGAAAAGGCATAGCAGAGGCCTGCTGGAGATGTGCAGTGAACCTGAGCTTTCAGCGGGCACAGCGCTCGGGTGGGCTGCTCACACCATGGCTGGAGAAGCAGGACATGCCAGAGTAGGTCTGCAGGCAGGACCATGGCAAGATAAATAATAACGAATGCCATGTCTACAGCTAGGGTGAGACAGGCAGTGGCTTTAAGTGGAAAGCCAGCAGCCGCTGAAAATCATTCCTTCAGAAAGTCCTGTCTACGGGTTTGTTTCAAAAAATGTAGAACGTTTGTTATGATTTGGGGTAAGGTGTTAAAATAATGCAAAGCTTTTTGCTAGGCACTCTTTTACACCTGTAGCTGTTTAGGTAGGGATTGCCTGCTTCCACTAGGATCCCCAGAACAGAAGTTTTCCTACCTGATTTAAATAAAATTCCAGTGGAGCCGTTAATGAGATGAAGAGTTGAAATATAATCTTAAGGGCATGTGCTCAGATTTTAATAAACAGAAAGCTGAGTGCGAGATTCACAGAGTACTGGATACTCTGGCTATAAATCACTTCCTGCAGCATGCAAGCAGAAGGCTGTTCTTTATTTTCTGTTACCATTAACAGACGAGACCAAAAAAATATTGATTGACTTAAATACTTACCTCAGATAATATTGCTTAAACTTTTAAAATACCATTTAAATGTTTTATAAATTAAAAACTGCCCTTTCAAACTGAAAAAAAAGAAGGTAAAGACTTTTTTTCTTAATTTCACTTTCAATCAAAACAACTGAAATGCAAATAAATTTTTAAAGTATCTTTTACAGTTAAATCCAGATATTTTGGAAACTGGAAGTTTGGCTGAAAACTGTTTTTCAATGTCAACTGAAAAAAATCCTATACAGTATGAGTCTCTTCACTAATGTGTTAATAAACTGATCTGCAGTCCTGCCATATACGTGTGTTCAGATTATCAGTTTGTTGCATTCTTTCTGTTACACATATTAAAAATAAATTAAAAAAATTGAAACCCCAAAATCAGCAACTAAATATGTTTGCTTTGGACTTAAATACATTTGTTTTTCCCATTGATGCACATATGTACTGCAAACCCTTCAGCCAGGGTGAAATGACTGGGATACATCTATATGAGGAACCTAGAAGAGTGTGGAGTCCACAAAATGCTGTATCCATTCTTTTATCACTTTTAAGCGCACACAGTGTGATTGAGGGCTATGGCTGTTGTCTTGTGCCCAGCATTTAGAATCATAGAATCATTTGGTTGGAAAACACCTTTAAGATCATCGAGTCCAATCACAAATCTAACACTGCCAAGTCCACCACTAAACTGTGTCCCTCAGTCCCACATCTACACATCTGGTAAATACCTCCAAGGATGGTGACTCAACCACTTCCCTGGGCAGCCTGTTCCAGTGCTTGATAACCCTTTTCGCGAAGAATTTTTTCCTAATATCCAATCTAAACCTCCCCTGGTGCAATTTGAGACTGTTTCCTCTAGTCCTATCACTCATTACTTAGGAAAAGATACTGACACCCACCTCACTCAACCTCTTTTTGGGTAGTTGCATTTATTTCATCCTGAATGGATGTGAAATTTATTGTTGAATGGATATGTGGTGCCTTCCTGGTCCAATGATCACCTCATCCCTGAGGTGATTTATTATCATTAGCCACCTACTCTGGGGTGGCTAATCAGTACTCTGGGGGCTGAGTACTGGAACACACCAATATTAACACCAGCGGATGTAGACTTGACATACAAACAGACCTCTGCTGACTGCTGAGAGGCAAGAATTCAGGCAGATAAATAGGAGTGCATGTACTTAGCATCTGAATTTTGTTCCCACTGAGCACGTAATGTTATCATGAGAAAGATCTGAACAGTTAATATAAAATGTGGCATGGAAAGATCCAAGATAGATACAGAGGTTTAAACAGGGCTGGGAGAATAAAGCTCTTATGCACATTGTTAAGTCAACCCTTAAACTTATCTATTTGATGAATATGTAGGAGACCTGCATTAGTGGGGGCTGTATCCATTTTGAGACATAATGGAGAAATGTCTAGCTAGTGTCTACATTTTGTGTAAACATGGTCACCATAAAAATAATAAATTTCAGGTTAAGAGAGCAAATGTAAAGGAATAAAGATCTCAAAAGGATGAATTACTTCAAAGCATCCTACCTGAGAAACACTAGCTGGGGCATAATTACTGTGTTTTTCTATAACTTACATCCACACAGAAGCACTTTATAAAACTGAACAAGTACTATATGAATAAATAAACTTGCTCTTAATATCTTACAATAATGAAGACTTTTGCAAGCGGGTATGTAACAGAATAAAAATTAATTGTAAAGCATATTAGGAAATTATTGGTTATAGAACCATTTGAAAGTGTATTTCCCTCACTATGTTGAAATACATATTTTGGTTTGATATTAAATCGGTTTAGATAAGGTTTTTAATTAGCATTGAGATAAAAGCATACATAAGAAATAAGTCACACTGCTCATAGATTTCTGTCAGACTAAGAAATTGCATTACATGTTGCATATATTAACATGAATATTCATGAAAGTATCTCCTTGATGTAGAGGATTAACAGTGCTGACACTAACAAAAGGAATGGGATACATGTATCTGTGGGGTATGTCTTGATGTGGTTTGAGAATTATTTTTCAAATTATATTTGCCTTTATTTGACTTTCCACTGAAGTGTGATTTAATGAGCCATTGCCTGGCAGCTGATTTCTGCTATTTATCTGAGACGTGCTACGTGGTTGTCAGCAGTCTGCTAGTTGGTGCTATTTATATAGATTCTATGAGGTGAAACAGAGCAAAAGGTAAGGGAACTGGATAGATAGACATTAATCCTGCTACATTGTATTTGTGTCTATAGAAAAATGAAATATTATAAAATTTTATCAGTGGTCTGGAATGACAATCTTCCACTGTTTATGAATGGCCATGTGTACCTATTCTGTATATTGCTTGAGATATAAAACCAATGATTTTGATGGCCGATACCTCTCGTAATTAGAGTAAGTAAATGTTTTAAATGTCAGGATTGTTGATTTACTTTGGTAAAGAATTAAATGTTGAGCTTCACTTGGAGGCAGAGATCTTCTGATCTCTTTTTTCAGTGCTACTGTATAAGGCACAGGCTTCCACTGTTGCAAAGCCATAGAACAGCTGACTTTAGGGTTATTGCATTTTTTTCAGTCTTAGAAAATGTGTCACTCTTTCAGGTCATGCAGCGGGTCATTGGCAATTCTGTACTTTGAAGAAAAAAATACCAAGTTTTAAAACTCGAGACCGAGTTTTTATTACTTGTTGTTATATGGCAGTTTTGAGGGTATAAAAAGTTAGTATAAACCTTGCTGAGCAAAGTTTATCAAAGGCCAGATGAGAAAGTCCTGCTACGTTGTTATACTAATGATCCATCTGGACCTTCACTCTGTTTCTGGAGATGGTAGGACATGTGTTTTAGGGTGCCTGGTTACAAGCCTGGTTACAATCTGCAGTCAATGCCTCTTGTATTCTCCCAACATCCATAGTCAGGATATTAGAAGATGTATTCCTGTCTCTTCCACCAGTATTTCCTTAATGGACCTGTGGCTGACGAAGGTTCCTTCTCTCTCTTTGAACTGGCTGACAATGCCCACCTCCCTGACCATCTGCAAGTTCCAGATACTCACTACTGCCTGTATATTAAAAAAAAAAAAAAAAAAATCTACTTTCATATGTGTGTTTTAAACTGATTCCCAATTTCACTGGGTGTCCCTGTTTGGGGTTTGTGAGATTTGGTAACAGTTCTGTGTTCGTCTTATCTGCTGCCTTTATGATTTTGTAAATCTTGATCATGTTCAAGATCCTAGGGAGAGTAGTTACTTCATTTCTTTGATCTCTTTAGTCACCGTCCTCACCACCTTCCATCTGACTCCTCTACCACCTTATTAACTTGTAGAGGCCAGAACAGCCTGTAGTACTCAAGATGTGACTATGCCAAGGTTTGGGATAGCAGGAAGATGGATAGAACCATGTGTCTCATTGCTCAGTGGCCTTTGTGATGATGGCCAACATTTTCTTGGGTTTCTTCATTACCATTGGACATAGAGCCAAAGCCTTCAGAGACCTTTCAGTGATGACTCCAAGATATTGTTCCTGAGTTGTAATTGCCAAATCTGAATTCAGCATCCCGCAGACAAGATATAGATTACTTTTCCCGGTAGGCATCATCTTAAATTTATCTTCGCTGAAGCTATTCTGTCACCTTTTTGCTTAATTACCTCTGTAAAGTTTTCCTGGACTATGTTGCCATCAGCATAATGTTTGACTATAGAATTCGTTATCTCCCACAGACTGGATCCTCACAGACTGGGGACCTCCTGCTGCTAACCTCATTCTCCAGGCCGGCTATTTAAAAGCAAATAATTCTGCAGTAAGTTTTCATAATCTATTTTTTGATGAAGTGGACTCTGTTACAACCAGGTCAGTTTTCCAAGTACTGCCTCAATTTTTGCAGCGCCTTCAGTTAAATTCTTGACTTACAGAACTGAAATACAGTTACAATTTAAGACAAAAATCATCCTCAGTTGCTCTTGCTCAGTTGATTCAGCTAGCCTGCAGGGCTCTCAGTGATCTCTCCACAGTACAGGGAGTTCTTTTCTTTTGCTTTTCATCTTGTTATATCTCTATCCACCTTCTTGATTTCTTTTTTTTTTACATTTTATTTTAAGAGGAATGAGTATTCTGGATTAAACTAGCATTCTTCCCTATTCAGACCTTAGAATTAAAATGCAAAAGGAGGAAGAGATATCTCTTCCCTGGGAGTTAATTTCTTCTCTTTCTCTGGATGCTTTCCCTTTCTACTATGTTCCTGGCATATTAGAGTTCTTTAGTCGCCTGTTACTCTTGCTGTTAGTGTGGGGGGACTTGCCATTAAATGATAAATTATTGTTCATTTATCTGTAACGGTTTTATACATTGTTTCACTGCAGAATTTATCCTAAATGCAGTTGTAATAAACATAGTTAACTACTGACATTTGTAAAGATATTTTCATTTCTGTAGCTGAGAACTTATTTGCAGATATGACCCCTTCTAGAGAACTGAGTACAGCAGTCGTGATTTTTTATTTTAATATATTCTCCATAATAATATTACTCAACACTGACTGTTTACTAAAATATTTGTAGTAATCTCCCTCTATTTCAGGAAATACCATGAGATGCTTGGTTGCCAGTTTTAATAGTAAATCCATAAATCACCAGAGAAGGATGTAAGACACAAGAACTGGGACATGGCAAACTGTTCTGACAAGTGTGCTTGTAAAAGATGGGTATCAAAATAACAAAAAAATTCACTTAATTTGCCTATAACAGAATGTGTTCAGACCAGTGAGATAAAGGATTTACATGATAAACACTGTTCATCAAGAAAATGTCACATTCTCTGGGTGAAACTCATGTTGGAACACAGTCTTCGCGTTACGTATGCTCTAGTACTCTATGTTGCTAAAGTAAAGGAGTTGAGGAAGGGTCTTCATTTCTCTTTGTGGATTGCCAGGCACACCATGTCACCAGTCAGTGCTTTTACAACATGATGACTCTGAGCTCCATTCCTCATTTGCTTACCTGTAGAGCTGAGCGGAAACTAGTTTAGATCGTTACTGGGATGGGACAGCAGCACGCTACGATAATCTCACCCATCTTCAAGAAAGGTGATGCTGCATTTCAAAACAACTTATCTGAAGAGGCTAGTTCGTTAGGGTCAGGATGGTGCTCAGTCTGTCTTTTCAGACATCATGGATCAAGAGCAGCCCTGAAGAGAAGGACTTGGGGGTGTTAGTGGATGCCATGAGCTGGCAATGTGTGCTGGCAGCCCAGAAAGCCAAGTGCATGCTGGGCTGTATCACAAGAATTGTGGCCAGAAGATTGAGGGAGGTGATTCTGCAACCTCTACTCTGCTCTCATGAGACCCCACCTGGAGTACTGTGTCTAGCTCTGGGGTCCTCAACACAGGAAGGACGTGGACCTGTTGGAGCAGGGCCGGCGGAGGGCCATGAAGATGATCAGAGGGATGGAGCACCTCTCCTATGAAGACAGGCTGAGAAAATTGGGGCTGTTCAGCCTGGAGAAGAGAAGGCTCCGGGGAGACATTATAACAGCCTTCCAGTACCTAAACGGGCCCTGCAGGAGAGATGGGGATGGACTCTTTGTCAGGGAATATAGCGATAGGATGAGGGGTAACAGTTTTAAATTGAAAGAGGGGAGACTTAGATTAGCTATTAGGAAGAAATTCTTTACTGTGACGGTGGTGAGACACTGGAACAAGTTGCCCAGAAAAGTTGTGGATGCCCCGTCCCTGGAGGTGTTCAAGGCCAGGTTGGATGGGGCTTTGAGCAACCTGGTCTGGTGGAAGTGTCCCTGCCCATGGCTGGGGGTTTCAAACTAGATCTTTAAGGTTCCTTCCAACTCTAACCATTCTATGATTCTATTGTTCCATGAGCACCATCAACAGCAACCATGCAAGAAAAGAACAACATTAATGAAAAACTGATTTCATTTCATTTTGATCTCAGAAGAGGTATCAATAGCGATGGCAAAGGTCGCTGTCTATCTGGGTCTAATACACAACAGTAGCCTGCATGGAAAGGACTCTTATAACTTGTCCAGTCTCCCAAGTTAAATGTTTTCATGAAGTATTTGAGAATTAAATGTGAACACATTGTGAATTATCTGTTTTAGATGGATTCTGCCAATAATAGTTACAAAGCTTAAAGAGATATCTATATGAAACATCGATTTCCTCAGAACATAATCCCTTCACCCCTGGATTTAATTCCTATCTATCCTGCTACTGCTTGTCAACTCTGCCTACAGCTATTCAAGCAATTAATTAGATAAATTTCATACAAACATATGCTCATGCACGTAGCAGGATTTTTTCTCCTTTAATCATATCAATAAACAGAAAAGAAGGACAAAGTAGAAGTTCTGCAGAGAGGATGGAAGACTTTATCTGACCTACAATACATAACTCTGGTATCGAAGTACATGACAGGTAGTTAAGTGTCAGGTGCTACTAGATGCAGAGCTGTGGTCTTCCTAACTGAAGTCTTTTCTCTGTTGGTCAAAAGTGGAAGGAAAATTTACCATTGAATTTAACATCTTGTTCCACCTTCAGAGTCTTGGCTTCAATTCCGCTGCCTGCTGTCTGCACAGGCGGCTGATACCTGTCTGCTGCAACAAGGCTTGGCAATGTTTGTGAGAAACTCGCATTGCATTTTAATATCTCTGATCCCCCAGTCATGAGTGAGGCAGCATGCATTTGAATGAATTTGTTCACGACATTTTTACTGGTATCTCTCCATACAAAGCAACATTTCACAGTTGCAAGTGCCCTGACAAACAGGGTATACCGACTAACAGTAGGGTTTCTCAGTCACTACTCACAATTCGTACCTACACGGACAAACACTGTGTTTTCAAAACAGCCAGCTTACCTTTGGCCAGGATCTAGGTTTAGTTCATTATCAGTTTCCTATATTTGCTAAGAATATGTAAAACTTTGGGTATATCATAATTAAGATTTTCATGAAGCATATTTGTACTCTAGCAAGGATTTCTAACATTTATGGTTGTTTGTCATGATTTTGTGTATATATTCAATAGGTACATAAACATACTGTATACATACATGTTCTCTATGTTAACTGCAGTAAACTCAACTTTTCAGAAAACATGTTGTGCCAAGATTGAAAATATCACATACTAATAAAACGTCACTGACAATGTAGGTAGAAATTGTGACCTACTTTGGCTTGTTGTAATAGCACAGTGAGAAAATCTCCCAAAATTCGTAACTCTGGTTTTTAAGGGAGGCCAAATGCCTGCAGGTTCTATTGATTCCTGCCGGGATGGATATTTAGCACTCCTGAAAACCTGGCTCTGTCTCTGCTACAGATATCTTTAAAATAGCCATTTCTTGTTTGGCAAGAACATGAATACGAAAAAAAGTATTGGCCATCGGTTCCATGGATCCCAGATCCCAGCCCCCCAGTCTGTTACGTGTTGTCCTCCTATGATTCTGCAGGAACCGTTAATGAACAAACACTACACCTCCCAGAACTCTGCTGTTACCACCGATGACGCTGTTGAACAAATGTGTTTTGGAGTGATAAGGACCTATGTAAATTGGAGATATTTTTTGAAAAAAGATATGTTAAGCCTCTCCCACTCTCAATTTTGATTCCTTCTGTGCTGCTTGACTCACCCATTAAAAAAAAAATCAACATGAAACTAATTAAGATAAACTTATTTAAATTATGTGTGCATTGGAAGGAAAGAAAAGTTGGAAAGGAAATACTGTCTGAAACTTTTAATCAGAATGTATTAAAATGATGTCAACATATGTCAATATAAGCATGTATGTATCTGATTTGAACACCATAAAATCTATCACATTTCTGGGTCATGTATACAAATTCTACTGCCTTGAACTAGATTATGTTATCCCTTGTTTCAGTGGAAAGGAAATTTTGGATTTTCTAAAAGAAGAATATTGGCAGGGAAAAACCTCTAGTCTCTCGTATCCCTACTAATGGCTATAAATCCAAATCCAAGGTGAGATACTTCAGCTAAGCTAGTTATAGTTCATTAAATTTGCAGAGGAGGGTGATCTTTGAAAAGGACATGCAAAACAAAGATAATTTTCATCACACTCTGGAAGACACTCATTGCCTTGCATGGTTGGGCTGCAATTACAGACATTTTTTTTTTATGTTTCCCATCATTCTCTTCTGTAGCTGCCAGACTGGTAAGTGAAATCTGCACTCAAGCTTTCCCCTGGTAAGCCTACAGGGACAGTGTGGCCCTGTAGTACAAGGTCACTGCATGGATCATGAAGCCCAAGAAACTTTCAGTAGCTAAGGAATGCTGCCTGCATTTTGAATTTTATGTGAATGATAGGTGGTTTTGGCCTAGTTTTACTTTCACCTTCTCCTGCCTCTTATGTTACCGATGCAGGACACCATCAAAGTCTCTGTGCTCTGTCCCTGGGGATTTTAGTGCTCATTTCTTTTGAAGAAGGTTGTCTAAGAAGTGTTCCCTGATTGCAGTCTAGCTTTTGTGGTTAGAAGATGGGAAGTGGCATGTTGCCTATTGCTAGAGTGCATAGCATGGCTTTCTTCTTGAATTTCCCTAGCCTGGTTTTGACTCCACGGTGAAGCTCAGGTCTACTGAGCCACCTTTAAGAACAGGTATCTGCATGGGTAGATACCTGTACAGATATATAGGTACAGGAATAGGTACAGCAACTGCATTTGCTCTTTGGTTAAATGCATTTAGTATAAAATTCTACAGGGGGTAAGAAAAGCTTTCTGGTGACGTGACAGATGTAAAAATCCTTTAGCATTTCGCACTTCTTTCTGTTTACTTG